TACAGACCATCTTTGATTCCACGTCCAGACATGTTTTTAGTTCAACTAACTCAAGACACAGCCTCGAATCAACTTCTAGTTCTGACTCATCTACTTCTTGCAGCCAGAAGAGTCTCAGCATTTTCAGCCAGGTGCCAACGTCCAGTTTAGATCTAAGTGGGCCATCTCATTCTGGCACTACAAAAAGAAAACTGCCCTCTCCAGTCAATGAAAACTCTGATCCAAAGAGACTAGTGCTGGGTATTGTAAAACCTGAAGATGTAAAACCTGGACCAGTCTACGACCCCAACAGAACCCCAACCTGGGCTAAAGACTACATGATAAGAAGCATCCAGTACAAAAGTGGGTTCATTGACACACACTGCGATGTTGAGATGATGGTGGAGGCTATAAGGAAACATCCAACCTTTTGTCTGATGAAAGAAACGGTGCCTTTCAACTTTGGTGGGGTGGTTGCAGCTATTTCTAACCCGGCAATGTTTTCAAAAACAGGTAAGTAATTTTGTTATCATTCTTTATTGATTTATTGAAATATCGTTAAATAATAGTTTCATCATTTGCATTTTTTTAATAGAAGTTTAATGTTATTTTTGTCTCAAAACTTTTAGATTTGAAAAAAAAAACTTTTATTAATTATTTGAGTTTTGTTTTATATAGTAATTTAATGTTATTTTTTTATCAGATGGTTTAGATTAACTAAAATATTACGTTTATTAATTATTTGAGTTTTGGTTTTATGTTTTTTTTCTAGAAAAAAAGACTTAGATTCACTAAAATAATACTTAAAAAATTATTTGAGTTTTATAGTAATTTAACGTTATTTTTTTTTTTATCAGATGGTTTGGATGGATTTGTGAAGCTTACATTACAAACAGATGAAATATGGATGACATTTGGATGTCACCCTAGACACGCAGGCTCCTTCACAGCAACACACATCACAACATTGAAGATGGCTTTGTCTAAAGACAGGTGTGTTGGGGTGGGGCCTTGTGGTCTTAACTACACTCTAAAACCCAGCATTGACCAGCAGAAGTTTGTGTTCAAATCCCAGTTACAGCTGGCTGTAGAGCTCAACCTTCCTATTGTAATTCATTGCAAACATGCAGAAGATGACTGCTTTCTTATGATGAGAAAGGTACGTTTTCTTAAACTTTCTGTAGTTAAAATTTTAAAGTATAGTTTTTTTATGTAACCAATTAAAATTGTATTTTGTGATTAAAACTGTCAAAGTTTTTTTTAAAAAAATATAACCAGTTACGTTAAATAGAGTTCATATTTTGTAATTATTTTCATTTTTTTTTAAATTTTCATTCTTTATATCACTAGTTTGTACCCAGAGACCACCGTATCCACGTCCAAGGGTTCATTGGAAGCAAGGAAATAGCCAAACATTGGATGGAGTATTTCTCCAACATGTACTTTGGGATAACACCAGTCATTGCCATCAAGTCTATGCCACAGTCTATCAGAGACATGGTGAAGTCTCTTCCCACGAGAAGGATGATCTTGGAGGCTGGGGCACCCAACATAATACCAGACAGTCACAAGGTAAGGAACAGTCATTTTAAATAAGAAACCGTCATTTTAAATAAGGAATAGTCATTTTAAATGGCGTGTATAAAGATTTTTTGGTATATCTATATATCAAATTTAGTTTTGTTTTGTTTTTAAATTTAAATCGAAATAATTCTAAAATATATTTAGTTTCACAAAATATAAATAGTACAATATTAAATGGAGCATGGGTTTATAATAAGTAGTAATAGATTAATAAAAAAAATCACAATGCAGTATTTAGTTATATAGAAGTATTTTTGTATTTAGTATTGTAGAAACTATTTCAATAAATCAATGAAATAAATTATCTCCCTGTATTTTTCAGCCACACATCTCAGTTTCCCACCACGGGTTTGCTTTGTTCACTGCCAAGGCCATTGCTGTAGAGAAAGGCTATTCAACGGAAGACTTGTTTCTTGCCACACGACAAAACACTAAACACCTCTATGGGATATAAAACTCTGGGCACCAAAGTTCGACACTCAAGGAATGACTTACAAAACAACAAAAAAAAACACCTATGGGATATAAAACTCTGGGGACCAAGGTTGGGTACTCAATGAATGACTTGTTACAAGATTTAACACAACAATCTTCTATGGGATTATAAAACTCAAGATGCGAAGATAGGGCTCTCAACGAATGACAAACATGACATCTGTGCGGGTTATAAAACTGTGGTGTCCACACCTATGATGTGTTTCTTGTTACAAGACAAAAGACTGTGCATGAATGAGATCTATTGATTTTGATTCTTTTGTACATTGTGAATTACACTTCTGTCATCTTAGTATTACTTGCATGTTTCAACAGTTTGTTTTTTACGTTTTTGTAGTTTTATTTGGGAAAGGGGTGGCCTAGCAATAGAGCTAGCCCGAAAGTGTCGAGTTCGACTCCGGGTTTAGGTCAGTAGAACCTCCCTGCGCCCAAATGTGGTTTGAAAGGAATCTTAACTATTTTTGTTACATTTATTTTTTTAATATTAATTAAAATGCCATTGAGGCTATACTAACTTTATGCACAATTACTGCAACAATATTTAATGTAAATTCAAATTTAGACATATTATCATTTTTCTTATATCATTTTTGCAAACGTTAAATTGAAATATGGAAAAAAAACTATTTTAGATCATATTAGATCATATTTAGATCATATTAAGTGTGAAGGTACATGTAAAATAATTTTTAAAATAAGTTTAAATTTAAAACTGAACTTTTTTTGTACTTGTAAACATATTATGACATAAAAATAAAGTCTTACAATGTTACAGTTTGCATATTCTTTTTCTTGTGAGAATGATAACGAAAAAAGTTAAACCAAGATTAAAATAAATCAATAATTTAAGTATTTTTTTTACGTTTTTGTAGTTTTATTTGGGGAAGGGGTGGCCTAGCAATAGAGCGAGCCCGAAAGTCTCAAGTTCGAATCCGGGTTTAGGTTAGTAGAACCTCCCTGCGCCCAAGTGTGGTTTGAAAGGAATCTTAACTAGTTTTGTTACATTTATTTTTTTTAATATTTATTAAAATGCCATTGAGGCTATACTAGCTTTATGCACAATTACTGCAACAATATTTAATGTAAATTCAAATTTAGACATATCATTTTTCTTATATCATTTTTGCAAATGATAAATTGAAATATGGAAAAAAAACTATTTTAGATCATATTTTTTTTATTGTAGCTGTGCACTTTTGCAGTGTACTAGGGCTGTGTACATTTCTAGGAATGTGTCACTCAATAATTATTTTATTTTCCTTACTTGAACACATTTTGTTGAAACATATTAATGTAATTGTCTCTACCTGATTTTTATATCCGTTTCACTTCAGTTTAATTTCAAGTTTTTCAACTAGAATTTACTAGAAACCTACAGAACTGTGGTGTAATTTTCTTATTTTGACTATGCTCAGTAGACTTTCAAAGGGACCAATTGCATTAGTGATCCTTTTCCGGACTTATTTAAAGTTATTACTATATGAGATTCCCGGAGGTCTGCATACATATCATCTTAAATGTAATCTTCAATTAATTGTCATTATATTTGCCTTATAACAAACTAGGCATACTTCTTATTGTGAGGGATGGTTAGATCTTCTGCCAGTTGTGAGAGGGGGGTTTTGAAGATGATGAAAAGATCCAACACACAGTTCCAGTCAAAATATAATGTTCTTTATTCAAATTTACACAATCAACATCCTACCTAACTAATCCTAACTCTACTACTACCACTACTATCTAACTGTCTCTAGCTTTACAAATGTCCGACCGTCTCTACCTAACTCAACATTTCTCTACCTAACTTTGACCGTTCTCTTTGCTAGCTAACTATCAACTGCGCCGCCGATCTAACTACCTACCCACGCTTCAGTTGTCAGCTGACCGTCCCACGTGAAAGGTCAGCTCCTGTACTTTCATTGGTCTCTCTAACCAACTCGCTACAGCCTGTTTCTGCTAACCTCGATCTGCTTGACCTACCCTTGACGAAACCTTGCGTCATCACACCTAGCATCGCTTAGGTTTTCAAAAACATTTTAAAATTTAATGCTTTATTAATTAGTGAGTGGCTGATATGTGAAGTGCTTACGTTTAAACATTAATGCTAATTTTAGAGAGTTTGTTGTGGTTGTTGTTTGTTGTTCATAGTCTGTTTTCAGAGAAATTGATGAGATGTTTGCAATTCATGACTTGAAAATTAATTAGAACTACAGAGGTTCCCTGAACAGTATAACTCATAATTTATATTACATTAACTTATAAAATTAATTTGTACATTTGATTGATAATGAGCACTTTAGATATTTCACACATTGGCGATGAAGTATATTTTTTACAATTTTTTTTGTAATTATAGATCAGCTGTCCACTACATTTTATTTTGTTTTTAATTTTGTTGCATTTATATTTATGTTACGCGTTGCGATTTCAGTGAATGACGGTGTAAACAAAAAACTACATACTCTTACATGATACTATTCCGACATGTTATCTTTTAATATAAAACTATTTATATGGGGTTGTTGTCCCTAAGAGAGTGAAAGTAAGTACCAAGCGGTTTTCTGTATACTGATTTTGCGCTGATGCTTTGTGTGTAATATTTGTGTCAGCGAAAAATTGCAGGTGATACATAAGTTACATTTTAGAATTAAGTAAAAGTGAACTTAGTACTGCTTTGAGCGTAGGTTTTTGTTTTACTGTTTTTTTCAATTATATACATTTAGATCAGGCTTTAAATGTTTGGAGTTAAGCCTAGACGATAACGGCTAAATCTAGTACAAAAAGATACAATAAACATAAAAATAAAACCATTTAGTTTAATTAGAAGCACTTAACTCGCATTTTTATTTTATAAAAATGTAGGAAATATCTCACTTGCGGCAAAAACTAAAATAACGATGAAAGTACAATTGCATCTTTTTTATTTATATTAAAGCTTTCTTAACTACTTTCAACGAATCCTAGTTTATAAAGCATTTTCAACGACACGTTTTTGCTGATCAGGATGGTATACCAACGATTATTTCTCTGCAACGAGTTATTACCAGCAACAGCAAAAGGGCCATGCATGGCATCGCCGCTTTTCAAACAGTTTTAAGGAATCTTAAAAAGTAAAATACATTTATTAAAGATAAATTGAAAAAAAGGAAGTTATAATCGTTACAGTTTAATATTTTATTGTTTAATTTTATAAGGTGCATGAAAATTTATTCTTTAAAATGAAGTCATTAATTTACAAAACTCACCATCGACTGTAGGTTTTTCAGAAATGTAGATGACAGTTGTCGCTGCAAAAATAAAGAACATTAATAAAAAAAAATAGAGCTAAAAGAGAAATAAGTGAGAAAATTGTTTATAGCACTTACATAGAACAAGTATATAAAGACCTATAATAAGAAACTATAAAATACACGAGGATTTCCACAGCGATCAATGTTTTTGAAAGAAAACAAACATGTTTAATTTTGTTATTTTAAAGCTTATTTTTATGAATCGTGTAATTTTGTTATTTTTTTTCCTTTTCACAATATTTTATTTAATATGCTTGCTCTGTCTGTCTGTCGTCAGTCTGTCATCACTCAATAGTCATAGATTGAAACGTTTCAAAGTTGGATTGTGTGTCAAAAAATGAAAACACTGCAATCTGACATTAAATTCGTCTTAAATGGATACTTTATTTTTTCATGAATTAATTAAAATTTTGTCCATAATAGTCGGTAAGTTTTTCCAACTATAAGCGCTATCATATCATTAAGTGCGCAATAGTTTTTAGTCATGCAACTCTATTGTAAATTTAAAAAAAAAATTGAGTACTGAAAAAAAATTCATAAAAACGTTTTGATAAAAAGATTGTATCTAATAATGCACAAAAATAAGGAAATAAATGATTTTCTTTAAATTAATAATACTAATAATACTACACTACTATTTAACTAACTATAAAGAAAGGCGTGGGTCTCTTCCTAGATATTAGTAAAGGTATCCAATAGATAATATAATTTCGTGTAATGAAGCAGAAGCAGTCGGAATGTTGATGATCTAAGAATCGCTCTAAAACCGCGTACGTTTAGTTCGATAAGGGGTGCACTGTAATAATGATGTTGAATATTTAAAAGATCAGCTATTTACCCGTCATATGAGTGACGTATAGCACAGCCAAGGTGTCTTCGCTTTTACAGTTATTTAAATAGTAGTGCATTATTATGAAATATAACTGTCATTTTATTATTGGCAGCATAAATGTTTTTTTTATTTACAACAAACGTTTCTGTTTATATATATATATATATATATATATATATATATATATATATATATATATATATATATATATATATATATATATATATATATATATATATATATATGTATATAAATATATATAACAATGTATTATGTTTTACCCATATTTTGAAGTGTTGGTCGTATAGCGTTTGCCGTAAAACTTAGCACAAAAGCAACCTTATAGATTTCTTTTTCACCTTCAATATCTGTTTATTTAAAAAAGTATACAAATGAGGTATTTTTAACACGCGAAATTCATGTTATTTTCTTTTACTTTCTCGTATACGCAGTATAGGAGAAGGTATTGTAATTGTAATCATCTTAACATACATTTTAAATATAAGTGTTATATCACATAAGTAGATTTTTGTCAACTTTTGAGCAATATGGCATGTAAGTAGGTCAACATCATTTCGTTCTTTTCTTGCCTGATAGTATGTGAATATATTTGTATTGAAAAGATAACATAAAAATAGAACAGTCATTTCCAATTTACAATCGCAAAAAATGAAAATGATACAAGGCGTAATCTAGTTAAACCAAAAATATAGCTTACGTTAAATTATTATTTTTTATTATCATCCTACAGCTTGGTATTATTTATGTGAATCCGTAAAAAGTTGTTCATTTCGTTATTTTCTTGCCAGATGGTATTTTTTTAAAATAAATGTGAACATTCGCATTGAAAGGATAAAAAAAAACTAGAACAGTTATTCCGCTATTGCTATTTAAAATCGCAAACTATGAAAATGATACAGCACAAAGAAAAATATAGCTTATGATAAATTATGATTTTTTTATTATCAGCCTACAGCAGGGCATTATTTATGCGAATCCGTAAAAAGTTGACATAAGCATAGGTACAATATCAACATAATAGTATTAATAGCCTAACCATTTAGTTGTATTTTATTATTAGTAACATTTCTTTTTTTATTATTATTGTTGCGTTTTGGGTTCTCATGATATTTTAAAACCTTAAAACGAGACCCAGAAAGTAAGAGCTGCAAGTTTTTTTGTTATTAGTGGGAATGATGTTCAAAAAAATTAATTTAGTTCGAAATGTATATATGCCTCTGGCTAACATGATTTACAATTTTAAGCGGGAGAGACCGAGACATACAAACCCTTTTTGTGGTAATAACAATTGCTGTTTTATTTGCGTGTGAACAGATAACTTTAGTGCTGTTTCAGAAAAGGAGCTGAAATTTTGCATATAAGTATAAACTGCTCAAAATTTAACTTTCGAAAACTTTTAGCGATTGTCCGCTTATCGGGAGTAGTGCTTTATTATATTATCAGTTTTCCAAAGAGCCAATCACCTTAGTTCCGTTTCATTTATGTGGACGAATATTCAAATATAATAATTAGGCCTCAAATTTTTATTCCTATCAACTGTTGAGCAATTTCCAGTAACAAAAAGCGGTATTTAACATGACAATGTAAAAAAAAATTAGACTGATAATTCTCAACCATTTTCGGTTTTTTTTTTGTGTTTTTCATAATACATATAATTCTTTACAAACTTTCCTACCATTTTTTTATAAATCGGCATATCGAACTTTAATGTTATATTCAATTTGTATGCATGAAAGTTTATGGGAGCTTAATCCCACTTTTTATAAAATTAAAATAGATAATCATGAATTAAATCCAATTTATTTTAAAATGTTCAAACAAAAATATTAATTGATCTTAAAATCAATCGATTGTCTTGTTTATTATTAGAAAACGATTATCACCTTTTATCTTATCCAAATATACGGCAGTGGTTTTCCACACGTTGATTGCTCTTTTAACCTGAACTTTGTTCATCTCTTCGGATTCTGTAAAGTAGATTTATATTAATATTTATTCCAAACTAATCTGTATGCATAGTCGTAGTCAGTCATTTTACTTTCTTCGGTGTAAAATGTGGGGGAATTTATTAATTTTAGAGAGATTTCTGAAAATATTAAAATTTAAAACTTACGAGATGGTTGCCATGTCATCGATTTAGTAATTATATCTTTAAGCTGGTTTAGAACTGACTGATCTTCTGAAACAATATTATACACAATAAAGTTTTACAGAATGCTAAAAACCAAAACAAATGTATACTTCCGTAGGCGTTGTATAGAGGAAATATTGTAATCGTGCAAAATAAAATCTTAATCAATATTTTCACAAATCTTTACGTTTTACAACTCCCTGAGTCAGAAGAACTTAGTATAGCTACTTTGTGTGTATGTCTATGCTCTGTGTGTGTGTGTGTGTGTCTGTGTGTATGTGTAAACGATATCTTGAGTACTGTTTCTGTTGCGTTGTCGAAATTTCATGAATGTTTTAACAATATCCAGTAATTGGAAGTGGTACTTACTCAACGTTCTGTTTGTGAAAACGTGAGTAGCGGTTAAGATAAGTAGACGAAATTACAGATTGAGGTAAATAATTGTATCCGCATATTTCTTTCAGATTTTTTATGACTTCCAATAAAAAAAATGGGTACGTTACTCTATTTGCGTATGAGGACTGTATCTTGAGCGCTGTTTCGTGTAATTAGACGAAATTAGATCACCGCTTCAAATAAACGCTTACAGTGTGAGTAGAACAGAGCAAGTACTTTCTAAATGAAACATGGAATACCCTCTTGAGAAATCGTAAATTACGTAAATACTTTAGTAGTACTTTATGATATTTACGATTTCTCAAAAAAAAAAAAAAAACCCATAAGAATTCAATTTTTTTACATCGACATTTTTTAAAGTAGCATATGTTTAAGCTTTTTCGCCTGCTCCGTCACAAATTTAGATATTTCTATAGACTATGATAGACCGATTGCAGTAGATTTTAACACAAATACTTTCCTTTTATATAACAATAGCTGAGCCAGTTTAAAAGATACAATTCATCTTTAGTTCAAAAATATATTAAGACGTAGTTATGCGCATGGAAATGCAAATCAATGGTTATTTAGTTAAGATATAAAGTAACTTACCTTTTTCTACGGCCTTCAGCATGAAAGCTTCCGACACGTTTGTCAGCTCTTGTGTAAAGTCTAACATCTTGGTTTTTGGTACAGCTGAAACAAATAAATCTTTGTAAAACGTCAATTTTAAGTTCATATGAAAAAAGAATCAATTTGAACTCAGAACTGAACTTGGCATATTTATTTTAATTTTTTTTAATTTATAATTAGTTTAATTTATTCTTCTTCTTAATGTTCTGTTTCACTTTTTAGTAAGTTAAGTGTTTGTTCAATATTTCATTTTTAGTGTAAATTAATGTCGAAGTTTATGTTGTGAAGCTTTAGTTTAAGATACCATGTTTAAAATAATTTTTTCTTATGAATTATTCTCTGAAACACGCCTCGTAAGCTTGGGTTGCAACATTGATATGATTTTACATTTCAAGAATTATTAGATTTTTTACTTCACATTTAAATGTTGACAATGCTATCTTTCTCTGAAGCATGGCTAAAGGTCTAGTTGATAAATAAAAGCACAAATGAATGTGATATTCGAAATGTTGAGCTATACCTTTTGTTGAAATATTAAAGAAAGTTTGAATCGTATTAATCATTCTTGAGACATCTGATGAGGTCAAATGTCTACCAATCGATGCGGTCCTCGACTGATCGACACTTGGAGATTCCGTGGATATCTAACACAAATAAAGATAAACTTTACTACTACGTTATAGAAAGAAAACATTTATAATTTTATCAGATGCATAAAAGTAATATTTCCCGGAAATTTAGTTTAACAAATTTATAAAATCAGCTTTGAAAATCTTTAAATATTTATTAATATAAATCTTATAATATATAACCAAAAATGTTTATTTCGTAATAGTTAACAGCTATATTTTTACGAAAAAAATACTTTTAAGGTCAGATCACGCTAGTGAAAAACACACTAGTGCCACACTATACTTGTACAAGACCACACTAATGCCACATCACAAATAAACTTGTTATGTAATGTATAAACATACAACACACATTTGTATAAGCATCTCCGGTGCTCTGAGCGCCATACCGCAACTGACTTTTTAAAAATAATATATATATAATATATGCTTAGATAAACGCACCCTGCTGGGGTGTCGCACGTAAGAAATTATTATTTTTGATTTGACGAAACTTTCCAGGATTTTCACATCAACATGACATTCCAGTGAACCGTGCGAAATCGCATCATCCTTTTATTTTTTTACATCGTATAAAGAGAAAAAAACGCGAAATACAAAATCAGTTTTTTTCTCCTTTTAAATACATAATAGGCTTAAACAGCTATTTTCAAATGGTTCCAAATGGTTGTTTCCCGAGAACATATTATTTCAACCAAAATTTAATCTTTTCTAACATTAGAGAAATAAGTACAAAATGACTTCCCCTTTTACTAAGGCTAAAAATATTTAAACAGGTAATTAGGTAATTAACAGGTAATTATTAGTAATATAATAGTAATTTAGCTGAAACTTTTATTTTTAATTTGGATTAATACATTCAGGATGTTGTGGTGTTAGAGGACGTTATATTATTTAATACACATAAACTACTAGGCTATACTCCATTGACCGCAATTGTGTATTTTGTCATGGAAAACAATTGTTTTGACTTTCAACCGTTTACTTTTTCTGGCCAGTCTGGTTGACTTCAAGGATGGGTTGCGGGCAGTTTTATTTTTTTTTAAATATTTGCATTGATAAGATAATTCTTTACGGCTTTTCAACGACTTATATTCCATACTAAAATATGAACATGAGTGTAATCGATGGTTCCCAAACGGTTTTAATGTTTAAAAATGTAACTATAATTTTATCGCTTGCAATAAATTTAAAAGATTTTTTTTTTAAATATAGTATGATAACACACAATTTTCAATCCTATTTTTAAAAAGGTTTTTAGTTAAGTATTTTTAATTTTAAAAATATGTAGATACTTTATAAAATTAAATGCACTAGAACTAATTGTAAATAATAAATCACGTACCTCAATGCACTGTAAGAAGCCAATACAATGCAGGAGCACCAGAAAGAACAACATGATGAAGCCGAGCCGATTCGTTGTTCCGTCGACAGTGAAATAAAAAGTTCTCTCTTTATACAAGATCGCGAACATAAGAAGAAGTGAACAACATGTTATTCTGCACGTACACCACTGACTACAATCAATTTTGCCCCTTGTTGTTAATTAACTCTGTAAATTATTGCTTTGTTTACTAGAAACGTTACTTCAATCAATTGGACTACGGTTATCCATTTATTGCGATGTGAAACACGGTTACCCCCCCCCCCCCTCCCTGGCAAACTTTCACACTACTACGCGGGCAGTGGCTAAATTTGAGCGGGTATTACATCATTTATTGCCCGGGGGACACCATAAACTCTACAGCAATCTATCGGCCAAGCACTCGTGTATACACTGGTGTAGTTACCTTTATTTTGTTCTAAATATAAGTGAGATAGACGTTAATTTTTATATATGTCAAACTACATTTAAGGGCATGCGCGTAAAAAATAATGAATGAGAAAAGATTTATTGATACGCTTGGCCAAACATATTAGAGTACAGATAATCAAAATAATTCACAATAGGTTGCATCTAATTACGTGTGCTAAGCAGCCATCTTGTTTCTAGATAAACAAAACCAGTCATGTCTTCGTGTGTTTACTTTATTTGCATAATATATTCTTCTATTTGCGTTTTAAAATTATACAATATAGGCTAATAATTGAAACTTTGCCAATATGTGTACTGTCGATTGTCATTGGAACACTATTAAACAGTGTTTAGTACGTTTTGAACTAAGCCGAAACAATGCGTCAGGGACATGTCTGTCAGTAGTATATTGCATATAAAATAATAACTTTTTTGTAAATTGTTATTCGAATCAATTAACAAATCCAATAAAGAATGACGTTTTACTAATCTTGAATACATTAGTAACTAATGTATTATATGTAAACATAATTTTTTAAAAATTCCAAATTTCCTTATAAAAGAAAGGTAATCCATTAAAATTTCCAGCAAAAGCATCCTGGCCTGGTTATATCCCCTTTAGATGAGAAGTGTAATGTTGCAGTTGCTAAGAAGGGACGAGTAAGGAAGGGTGCGAGGAGTTTCATTGTTTTACCATGTGCGATCGTCTTAAAGTCGTGAAGTCGTATATGTATGACATATTATGTTGAGCTATTCATATTTTACACTTGAAAAAAAAAGTAATAAAGCGAACCATGCCTCACAATACTTTCATGTTTAAGAAAAAAAACACAGTACAAAAAAAAATGAAGTGTTTGACGTTGCGGATGGCGTGGTCGAGCGGTAGCGCAATTAGAGATTACAAGAAGTACATCAGATGTCTCCGAGTTTATCCAGCTTGAAAGGTATCCGATTTAAAATAAAGTATTGGAAACAAACAATTTAAATTGGTGCTGGCCACACAGTCCCTATATAAATATGAAGATAAACAGATACATGAAGATTATTGCATCTTTTCCTTATCATCTTTTTCCGTTTCTTTTGCACACTTCACATGGGCCGGTAAAGTAGAGTTTACCTGTTTCAATGACCTCGGCATATGCTTACGTGGTCAGCACGTGGTCAGAGGCCTATATTTCCCTAACGTCTTTTAAGTATGCTACCAAAGGACGGTCTTTTTGCTTAAGTCTCTAGGGCAACCAAGCTAGACCACTAGAACTACCTCTAGACCATGCCGTCTTCAATTTGCTCTTATTTCTTTCTATTTCGTAAGTGTACATTTTAACAAATAACCAATAGCTTAATAAATATTGACCAATTAAAAAGAATAATTACCGATTGAGGTGGATTAATTATCTGTACGACAATATTTGTATTACAGATATATTTTGTACACCGATTTCCTTAAAAATTCCGTTGGTTTATTCTGATTTAAAAGAAAAAACTGAATTAAACAAAATGGCAGATCTTAATATGATTACAGAGATTACTTCTAATTGTCCACTGCGACATAATATTGGCCGAGCCCCAGGGGTACAACCATATCTTGTCTTGTCACATTTTTTGTGTTTAATATATTTCCTTCCACACAGCTCACTCCATTCGAGCCAGGAGCTAGCTGTGTGGACAGTTTACATGATAAAATACATACAATACATAGCATTGCATACATAAAATTTTACAATGTAATTTCCTTGATTTTCCTTCTGATTTCTTGTTTTCATTTCCGTTTTTTTTTTTACAAATAATATAGAGTACATGACAAAACATGATCGCTTATCGTCCTTTAGCCTTTCTTCTTGCGAGTGATACAATCTTGGTTGGGTAGTGGTCGATTCTTAGTTGGTAGTTGTACTTTGAGAGTGTCAAAGAGGGATGTTCCGTTGTTGATTGAGCGAGTCTGGTGTCTTGTCGTTGATCATTGTGGTTTTGAAAAAGAGTGAAGTTGTGTCGTGGTCTAGTAATTGAGGTGGGCGAAATGACGGTGAAGAGTGAAGTTTTCCTGATATTGCTGAGTCACATTGACCGCCAAGAAACCATCAAAGCGGTGCCGATACGGTGGTCAAGCGATGAGACCAGTGAACTATACACCTTGGTAGCAACCTACCGTGACGTCAAATTGGCGGTGTTGGATGCGTGACGTCAAACAGGACGCGCGGAACCAGCCATCCGTGAAAAAACTAGGACACGCGTGCGAGTCAATGTTCAATAGATAACACAATCCACCTGAGTGCCAATTTCAAGGTCAGATAAATAGACGAGCTCTATAACATCTGTTTCTAGTCCTTCCATTTTACAAATGCGCATTTTAACATTTAACTCCATTGATAAAACCAGTAATACTATTGACCCATTTAATCCCAAAACGTAACACCCAGTAAAATGAAATAATTATTAGTATGAAGTGCAAAAATACTGATGTGTGTTGTAAAACAACGTTTTGAAAAAAAATTATTATTTTAACGAATAAACTATAAACTAATTTTTACTGAATGACAGATCTTAACATAATGTACACATTTGTTAATTATTGCCATCTGTAATACAATATGAACCTAACACAATGATGTCACGTTATGTTTTATTTTACCATTGTAATAGTTAACTTGTGTTATATAAACAGTAAGGATCACAATTGCGACTGGTCCCTTTGTTAGTCTATTGAGCAAAGTATAAACGAGAACCTGGACGGAGAAGAAGGCGAAGGCAAAGACGTCACTGGATGGATGACATCAAGGATTGGACGGGGCTGCCAGTACTGGATCTAATCAATGTGGCAGAGAACAGTGGTGGATGGGGGAGAATTACGAAGTATACTGTTGTGCTTCAACGAACCCCCAAAATGATGAAGGGACAATGATAATAATATAATATATATATATATATATGTAAATTGACTGGTGTAATCGTCTGAAAAAATTAATTATAGTTATAATAGTATTAAAATAATTTATGGTATACTCTATATTATCACTGATGTTTAATGTAAATATATTGATTTAAAAACCACCAGTTTACTTTTAATGTAACAAATAAACCGATGTTAACAAAATGGCAGGTCATAAAATGTGCACACTTATTACTTATAATTGTCCATTTTAACACAATATTGACTTAGCCGCCCTCTTGCCACCACCCCACCCTCACCCGCCCACGCGGAGGGGGTGTGGGGGGGCGTACCATATCATGTTTTATCACAATTACCAGAATAAAACAAAAAAGAAATACCGATCGTTCGGTCCATTACTGTGGTAATTGAATAGAACCACTTTAGTAACACCTTGTCGTGACGTCAAATTGACGGTGACGCGTGACGTCACACACGGCGTACGGATCCAGCCGGCGTGGAATAGTCAGCATCAAATAAACAACGCGTTCCGCCCGACTGACCCTACAGCCTTCACGTGGTTAACCATCACGGGTGATTTAGCCAATAGCATCTGTGTCTAGTCTTCAATTTTACGAATGCACATTTTAACATTTAACTTCATTGATATAAACATTAGAACTATAGACCAATTTAACCCCAAAAAGTAACATCCAGTAAAATGAAGTAATTATTAATATGAAGTGCAATAATATAATATTACTAAAATGTATTGTAAAAATAACGTTTTGAAAATAATAATTATTTTAACAAATAAACTAATTATAACTGAATGACAGATCATAACATAATATAAACATTGGTTTATTATTGCCCTCTGTAATACTATGTGAACGTAAGACAAAGATGTCGCGTTACGTGTTATTTTACAATTGGAATAGTTAACATGTGTTATATAACCAGTAAGGATTACAATTTCGACTCATCCGTTTTAGAGTCTACTGAGCATAGCATAAACTAGAACATTGAGTTGGTATGGCATGTCATAAGATCAAACAGCATACGACTGTCTTAAACGTTATTTGCAAGGCAATGTCAGACGTATGGGAAGGCAAAGACGTCACTGGGTGAATGACATCAAGGATTTGACGGGGCTGCCAGTACCAGATCTAATCAAAGTGGCTGAGAACAGGGGTGGATGGCGGAGAATTATACAGTCTGCTATGGTGCACCAAACCCCTAGAGTGTTAAGTGATGATAATGATATAATCTGTTTACACATTTTCTGGTGTAATCAGTTGTAGAAAAAAACAACGATATTTGGTTATTAAATAGATTTGTAGTATTGTCTATACTATCGTTGATGATTAAGCTAAATAGATTGATTTAAAAACCACCAGTTTAATTATAATGTAACAAATAAAATGATGTTAACAAAATGGCAGGTCATAATATTTGCACACTGATTACTTATAATTGTCCATTTAACACAATATTGACTTAGCCGCCTTCTCGACCCTCCCCCCCCTCACCCGCCCCCGGGGAGGGGAGAGGTACCATATCGTGTCTTATCACAGTGACCGCAATAAAACAACAAAGGGGTGCCGATCGCTCGAACAATCAAGATGGTCATTGAACAGATCTAAGTTAGTAACACCTTGTCGTGACGTCAAATAGATGGTGACGCGTGACGTCACACACTGCCACCAAGGCGTACGGAACCAGCGTGGAATGGTCAGCCTCAAATAAACAACGCGTTCCGCTCGACTGACCCTACAGCCATCACGTGGTTGACCATCACGGGTGATTTAGCACTATAGCATCTGTGTCT